TTGCTTCAATGTCCCCTCTCCTGATCTACAAGGGTGGTCTTCTCCACATTGGGAACAAGACTGTGCCAAGTTATTACATAGCTATTTATTTTTCAAATGCCTTTAGAGAGCAGATGTTCCCACGTGAGCCTTAGAGCACTTCCTCTATGGAGGCTTGCAGCACAAGCTGACCTCTGAATCTCATCCAGATATCACTCAAGTCCATAGCAAAACTCCTATTGAGCTGACCAAGATCAGGGTTTGGCCCACTGACTATGACAGCGTGTTCAGCTTCTGCCCCCATTGTGCAGCTAGCAAGGAGTAGACATATATGTTAGTATCCATGATGCTATTGGGGCTGCCTGATGTGTGAAATCACAGGTATAAACCTTGGGTGAATCTTTTTTCTTTCTTTCTGGAAGCAACCATGCTAAATGCATTACTCTTATAACAGATATTCTTAAATACTCTAAGTTCAGCTTAACTTTTCAGAATTCAGAAGCTTATCCAAAGTTTATCTGAAAATCCCATGTTTTAAAAATGATTGAGAAGTCTCATCAGAACTTAATTTCAGGGGGGTTTCAGGATTTCAGTATTTCCTGACTCACAAACAGTAAAATACATAAAACTTATCAAGATAATTCTAAAGGGGAGGAAATTTATCATTGACTTCTAGTAGATGAGAGCCTCACGCTCAGGAAAATGAAAAAAAATTCTGCCTAGAATCACAGAGGAGTCAGTGGCAAAATCAGTGCCTGCCCTACTCTGCTTCACCTTGTGAGAAAAACAGCCTTTCTGCAGGGATTTCAGGCCTCCTTCTTCCATAACCATATCTCTCTCGGAACCCAAAGTGCAGAGGCTGTGTAATTTTTAAATATGTATTTTTCCCAAATTACCCAAATATTCCTTAGTTAGAACAATGGACAGAGTTCAGAGGATGTCACTGCTTTATGTGAACCTACTCATTCACATCATATTTGCTCTTTTGGTCCTTCCCTCTCAGTTTTTCTGACAGACCCTCTACTGGTACTGAAATGCTGCTGTTATGGTTTAATATATTTCCAGTCATTTTATTTCCTTCAGTCCATTTTACAGGGTTTTGCTTGGTTGACATTAAGGGATTTTTTTTTTTCCTTTGAATCATCACTAAGTGTTCATGCCCAAAACTCTCTTGCAGATCCATACCAGAGATTTGAATGGGACTCTCAAGAACATGGGTAACAAGATCTTGATCACTTTATTATCTGAACAACGTCAATCACTGACATCCTTGCAGCATAATTAGAAGAAAGCCACCTATCTACAAGACTGATGATTTGTGTTGTTTTAAAGGACTCACCAAAAGATTGTGCTGAAGACTATATGGCTTTCTTGTGTAATGTTCCAAGTACTCACACTGGAACCAAAAGCCAAGGAAAGTAAACAGCTGGGATATTTGTAAGGCCAAGAAAAGTGAATACCTGGGATATTTGTAAGAGAATATGACTTGAGTTCACACCTCAAAATTGGCATTTTGGCATGCTGGGCATTTCACTTTTCCTAAACTGATTTAAATTCCCCTCCCTGGTAGCAGTGCATACTCACAGCAAAGATCTCTGCTAAGAGATCATCTTCATGCTAAGAATTTTTTCTTGTATTTTATTCTGTTTGGTTAGTGACTATTCACTGGCTCCTGAAATTCTCCAGCAGTAATGCAATCCTCGCTCACACCAACAAATCCCAGTGACTCACATGGGACTCACAGCAGAAGCAGTTACAGAATAGGATTGTGTATTTGTTCAAACACATTGGCCAAGACACAATACAGAGAATGTATGTATGAGTCCAGCAAAAAGAGAGAAGCAGGATCGAAATTTCTCAGTTGCAATGCCATAAATAAACCATGGGATAGTTTGCCAGATAGAGACTTCACGGGGAATGAAGTCTTGTCAGAGAGACTATGAAATCTGCTGTTTACAACCTTTGAAGACAGTTGGTGATTTGTAACCAAGCAACAGATTTGCTGGTTTGCTTGAAATGAAGTGCTTTAAAGCAAGGTGAGAGGCTTATTTAACGGAGGATTTGGGGGAATTGAATATTTTCTATAAAGAAACATTTTAGCTATAAAAAATGTAAAGAGAATTTTGTTTATAAAACCTTTTTACAGTTTATTTCCTATCAATAATTTCTTAATATATATATAAAAAAATGAGGATCTGACTAAATGAATCAGGACGTTAAATGATAAAGTTCCGTCCGTGTAAACAAATAAATAATTATTTACAATCTTTGGCAAAACAAAATGAAATTTCATTGATCTCTCTCTCTCACACACACTTGCAAGGAAAAAAATGAAAAAGAAATTCAAAAAACCATCATAAATAATTTACATAGAATAGGAAAACTATGATACAGTCCAAATATTAACATCTTCATCCCCACACTGATGTCTCCCTCTGACAAAACAAAAAAACCCTACACAGCCATTACAATCATTACATTTAATGAAGTTACCCTCCCTTCTGCTTGGGACTTGGGGATGCAATTTGAAACACCAAAAGCAAGAAACCGAAACATTTTAAAACCTCATGAAGCGGATTCAGAAAAAAACAAAAACCCAAAAAACTCACAAACAAAAATCATCAACAAAACAAAATTGAAACAAAAACAAAAAAAGATGTGATAATATGAATACTATAAAATGTGCAACAAAGCCAGCAATTGTGGATTCCTTTCTAATGAATATAGCAACAAAATCTATTTCAAGGGAGAAAAAGTTGATTCAACATTTAACTCACTGTGCCCTATCAGAGGCAGAGGTACTGTCATTATCCCATTAGTAAACCCATCTATGAATAAAATTACATCAGCGTGTGTTCTTTTTGTGAACAAAGCTCATACAACTTAAAACAAAACAAAATGTTAAACATGTTTATACTATTGTATATCTGAGTAACTGTTGCATCTGTTTAAAATAACCACTGGTATCCCTTCAGCATTATTTAAGAAGTTCTATATACAGCAGACATAGGTAACAATATAAAATATTAAAATTAGGGTAACTGGATATATATTAAGGTTCCATTTATAAATTCCTTATTGTTATTCATTTAACTTTAAAGTATACAAGAATATAAACCATAAAACTATACTTAAGTATATACCATGCTTTGACAATATCTACATATTGTGATATGCTTTTAAAAATAGCTTTAAAATATTTGTGAATGTATTACTGAATGCATTATACGACATGCTTTAAAATAAGTTATCAGAAAAGGTAGCTCGGTGTGATAATCTTAATAAATACTAACAAAATATTTATAAATGGAACCTTAAATTCATATGTTACCAAATTAAGTAATAGTGGCATTGCCACCTTTTGAAAAACCCACATCAGGATTCAGGATGTCAAAGTGCTTTTTGCAGCAGAGGTGGGAAAGTGGTTCATTTTGCTCCACATGGTCATGGTATATTCTTTGTAACACGGGAATGTAAAATATGATGGAAACAGAACAACTGGAAATAATTTTCTGAAAGTCAGACAACAGTGATAGCTCTGGATGTTTAAATGAATGACTCTTCCCTTTCACATGGGAGTTTCTAGTTCAATTCTGTTTGGCCTGAATTAAGTCTTTACTAAACAGTGCTTTAGGTTGCAAATTTGACATTTCTACCAAATGTAATTTTAATGGGTGTTATTAAGAGCATCCTCATCAGCTAAAGAACATCTTTTTGGATCAAGAAATGTTCACAATTAATCTTTACTTTATTCTCCAAAGGCATTTTCATTGTTATTATAGATATGGTTGGTGTGGCCCTCCATTACTTTGCTAAAATTAGACTCAGATGATTTGTGTTACTGAAGTTGAGCCCTGATCAGAGCAAGGAAGTGCCAACCATAGACCTAAAAAGTTATTCAAATACAATTTTTCCTCACTTAAAGACAATTACTGATAATCCTCACCCCCCTCTTTTTCTCCACATATATATATATAAATACATTAAGTAATTACATTTTCATATGTAAACGTCATTCCTTAAAAAAACAAATAAACAAACAAACATGTTTTGCTAAGTTTTCACTGTACAAAAGTGTTCTAATGTATCAATCTGTTTTTGCTTCAGTGGTGGGTTGGACGCTCACATTTAGGTTTCATTAGTCCTGGCAGTGAGAAGGCACTTGGGTAGAGGGATGGCTGAGGCACTCCTGGCAGCAGGGAAGTACCTGGCAAGTGGAGCACGAGGACAGGAGGTACACAAAAATAGAAACTGGGAGTACCAGGATGTACTGAGGTGTCTAGGTTGCATAGCATTTACAGTACTTTGCTGGTAATGCAGCAACCATTGCTCAAGCATCTGAAAGAAACAGGAAAAAAAAATTAATTGTGGTTAGTTTATTTGGTTAGGAAGTTAATTCAGAGGTCCATCATGATACAGTATAAGGATGCAGCAGTATATCCTGCTCTGCATTTTCCTACAAATGTGAGGACATTTATATAAAAATAGGTAATTGTCTATACAGACAGACACACACACATATGTGTATGTGCACCCATGTATCTAAATGCATACAAAAAAATCATAAATACTAAAACCTGGGAAAGCATTTTCTGTATTTCAAAACATTTTGGACAAGGCACAATAGACAGAGATGCTCATTAAAAATATCTGCGGTCTTCTTCCTGCCTCTTGAAAGAGGAGTGATCCAGAACTCTCTCTCTGCCTGCAGGACACACTGAAGTAGCCTACAAAGGGAAGCGGATATACAGAGAGAATTCTAAGCACATATCTTGCTCAGAGATTTCTATCTCATTTTTTCCAGGTGGGTAGTATTAAACATCTGGGTTTTGTTATTCACATTGAGATTACTATAGGGGCAAAGGCCATTCATAGTATTTCAACAAATTAAGGTTTACTCCATGCTATGATATTACAGATTGCTTTCAGCATCTAGAAGATACTTTTCATTTCCATATTTCACACTTGCTCCACAGGTTATCAAAGGATCCAGCATTTTCCAGACATTTTCTGTAACTAACCTCTGCATTCATATTTGAGGTCAGAGAAATAGACCATCTCTTGAGAGAAGACAAAAAGACCTAATCGTCCACCAGCAAAGGTTGTATCATAGATTGGTCCAGAATCCACCATGACTTGTTTCCCTTCATACACTAAAACTCTGTTAAGAAGAACATAATTTAAATTAGTTAAGGAGGATAATACAATGTCCAGTGCTAAGGGCTGGTAACATTTCCCAAGAACTGAAACAGGATTAATTTTAACAAGGCACCAGACAACCCAACTTCATTGTAGGGATCACTTCTCATCTCTATCTGACACCTACCTGGCTGTCAGCCATAACACATTAATCAGAAGCAGTGGAGCTGTTCCATAAGTAATTTTATGCACAACATCTGCAAAAGATTTCCCAATTCTTTATTTAGAACAGCCATGTCTCCTGGAATGAACTGTCGTGTACTAGCTTTCATCGATAAGCCCCTGTCCCTGTGAACTCAGAGGTTAGCACAAGTCCTTGCCACATCACTTAGCAAAGTCATCTTTACAGCTGTGTGAATGGCTGATTTATTTATCTTTGGGTGCTAGAGCCAACATCAGAAATTGGAATCATCCCCCTCTTAGAGTCAAACAAAACATTAATTGAAGACTTGCTGAATCTCATTTTCAGACATTTTAAGAGCTTAATTAAAGCTGGAAGGATTTGGACATAAACAGCTAGAGTAATAGTAAATTGGAAAAGAAAGAGAACTTTTTGTTTGGCTGGTTTTGGGCTTTCCCCGCCCCCCCTCCCCTGCAGTGTTTAAGGCATCCACCATGAAGCAAAAGGACCTCTAAAGACATCGCTTCATTTTCCTTCTCTATCAGATAGACTGTAGTTCCTTGAACTTGTATTCTCCACTTCTCATGGGAGACCCTGAGACAGTCAAGATTCTTAGGCATTCAGTCTCTTAAAATAGCCTTTGGGCAAAATGAGAAGTGACTCTATAGTCTGATAATTAGAGCAGTCTCTGGAGAAAGGGATCACATTTCTGCTTCAATTGATAATACATCAGTTATACAAAGCAGGATGGCTTCACATGAAGATAACACTTCAGCAACTTTCTGTAACTTGAGGGTTAGGGACAGATTTCTACTTAGACAGAACGGCATGTCCCTCACTTAAAGTGTTTTATTTTCTGAAAGGTACCCAAAGACAAGTATGAAACTGCTCCCTGAAAGTAGTATTTAATGGATGGTAAAAAGAACAGCAAAAACGACAGGTTTTTATATTCATGTAACTATTTAACGTAATTATCAAAATTTCAAGAACTGAAAACACATGGGAAATTATTCATCTCACCAAAAAAAATTGCACAGCTCTAATCATGTTAATACTAAATCGCTAATTCTGTACAAATAAAATGGTTTCATGACTACATTAGTGAAATAATTTTATTTATTTATTTTCTATAAATACACTCCCAAGAATTAAGGAACTTAATGCCCATAGAATTTGTCATGCTAGATTAATCTAATGGGATACCAGTTGAAATGTGCTCTGACACTAAGTAGATTCTGCAAAAGAAGATACAGGTAATAGCAACATGAATGAAAAACTCATTTCCTTTTGACTTTATCAGTCAATGCTTTACACTGTAATACTTTGATGCACAAAGAAATACTTTTCTTTCCAAGAAACAGATAACTTAGTCTATCCAAATTTGCCTACCCTTGATCTTTCACAGCCAGATGAAACTCCCTGGCTCATAAGCACAAAGAAGACCTTAAGAGTTAACGTTAGACTGCCCCATGAAAAATGCCCTTTACAGTTACAGTAGTCAGTAGAAGATAAAATTTACATGGACAGTTAAGGTTCATTCTTTGGAATACCAGATAAACAGCTGGGCTCTAAGGAACGTCATATACCATAGCTCCTTGTTGTGTGCATTACAGATGTGCTCAAGGCTACTTCTGCAGTATCTCATATAAGACACTATGGGAGACAGGATGCTAAAGCAGACAGGCCGTTGGTCCACTTCCCTGTGGCAATTGTGATGTTTCTAATTAATTTCATTCATTCAAATTCCAGAGTCTGGGGAGGAATATCATGTTCTAATCTTGCTTTGAGTTTTGCTCAGGAATTTTTGGTCCTGTTACAGAAGAGCTATTGGGAAAGAATTTTATTTTTTCTTTAATTTAAGAATATTTAGCTGATGTAAATATTGAACCATCCAGCCTAAATTAAATACATCTGAAAATGAAAATAACTTATTCTAAAGATAACAAAATGTCCCCCAAATATTGGAACAAACTGTAACACAAGTATCATTGCTATCAGTACTAAAAAAGAAACTGGTAACATAGCTCTTATATCAACAGAGACAGAAGTTTTCTAGTAGAAAATATAGAGGTGTAGAAACATTTCTTACTTTATTAATCCTGTTTTAGGTCTATGAATCAAATGCCACCTGTAAGCAGTATAATCTTTCCAGCCAATGTTCT